ACTCTGGGTAGAACTGCTCTTTAAATTCTTTTTGAAACTCCGCCCAAGTCCCAATCAAAACACCATTGCACCTTACATCATCACACCTGTGCCTCCACCACAACAAGGCAACATCAATAAGATATATGGAAGCAGTGTTTACCTTAGTGGCATCATCATGCATGCCAGTGGCTTGAAAGTACTATTCTATCATTCATAGAAAGTTGTCCACTTCCTTGGCAGCCCTAGTCACCTTGAACTCTTTAGGCTTAGGGATCTCCACATGAAACTTTGGCATTCCAACTACCATGCCATTCCCAATAGCTGATTTGAAAGCAATTAGCTCCCTCTTGAGCTCTTTGATCTCTTTGTGTATGGTTTTCACCAAGCCTCTAAGGCTTCATCCTGCTAAGTGAGTGTGTCGATGGTATCATTTAAAATAGCCTGCATCTCACCTTTGAGCTCTTTCTCCCGGGAGTCCAAATTCTCAAAGTAAGCCTCTATCTCATTAAGCTTCTCCTTCACATCATCCACTGTCACCTTTACCTTGGCCAAACGCCCATCTATGGTAGACTAGATGTCTCTCAAACTGGCTTTCATGCCCTTTTGGTAGCCTTGCTCCTAGGCCTCTAGTTGTTGGCTAGCAACATCGCTCTAGGATGCCACCTCCGTAATGCTTTGGATGCAACTTGCACACAAACAAGCAAAACCTACCTGATACCAACTGTCATGGGCTCCGATCTCAAGTCTAAATCTGCATAACCTTAAGCTTGGAAAAGAACTCCTTAGCCTAAGTTCAGCCTACTAAAGAAGCGTGTGGCCAAGCAACAACAAGAAAAGGTAGAATACGTAAGTTAAAAGAGAATACCATATAATGCTAAAATATGTTTTGTATATTACTAAAAACAAGTGTTTGATAATGTATAAAGGAGAGAGGGACGGCCCTCTATTTATAGCCTTAGCACTGTTTGGCTACTTCTAAAATCAAAAGGATTACATGATCCCTAAAAATCAAGGATTACACATTAATACACAAATTACATAAGGTTCATCCTGATTCTAAGGGTCAACTAGATCTTACATTGAGTGTTATCGATCCTGGATGCTGTTGGAAGATTCTAGATCGATCAAACTCTCTTGGGTCCACCTAGGTAAGGTGCAACATAATGCGAGCTTAGCCCTAGTTGTGCGGGCAAGCCTGAGTGATGTGTAGATGGTCTAGACTCTTCTGCCAAGCTCATTGTATAAACCCCTACAATTGTCCATGGTGCTCAAGCCTTGGTCGCTTATGCTCAAGTTGGGTGTCTAGTGCACCAACCCAAAGCGTGACACTTTGGCTTTACTGAAACAAGGTTATTATTGGCCTCACATGCAGCAAGATGTGATGGACTATATGAAGACTTGCCTCATTTGCCAATAGGATAAAGTTGAAAAAAAGAAATCGACCAGCATGCTTGAATCATTACCTGTGCCTACAAGACTTTGGAAAAATATCTCTCTTGATTTCATATCAGGCCTTACTAAAGTTGGTGATCTTGGGTCTATTTTGCTGGTGATTGATCATTTCTCAAAGTATGCTACGTTCATTCCTGCCCAAAAATATTGCATTGTGGAAGTTACGACCCAACTAATATTTAAACATGTAATCAAGTATTGGGGCCTTCCTCAAAACATTGTCAGTGACAAGGATTCAAGATTCACTGGGTCATTCTGAAGGAAACTTTTCAAGATCTTACGATCTCAACTCAACATCTCTTTAAGTTATCACTCGCAAACTGATGGTCAAATTGAACGATTTAATAGGTTGTTGGAGAGGTACTTAAAACACTTTGTTCATGCTAATCAAAAGAATTGGCCTTTATTGTTGGATGTAGCTCAGCTTTGTTTTAATTCCAACAAGTGTTCTTCTACAAACAAAAGTCCATTTGAAGTAGTCACTGGACAACTACCAAGACTACAGCATACGTCCCTTGAGCCTTATCGAGGGAAGAATCCACGAGCCTTCAACCTTAGCAAAGAATAGAGACAAAATACAAAAATTACGCAAGCATACTTAGAGAACGCATCGAAGCACATGAAAAAGTGTGCACATAAGGGTTGAAGGGTACAACAATTCAAAGTTGGTGATCTTATTCTTGTCAAACTAGTGCCCGAACAAACCAGGTTTCTAAGGAAGTGGGATCATTAGCTAATGCATAAATATGAGGGTCCAGTGAAAATCTTTTCCAAAGTGGGGAAAGCCTCTTACAAAATTGACCTGCAAAAATGGATGAAAGTGCATCCAATGTTACCATGCAAACCCCACAGGTTCAAGTCACAATGAATCAACCAGGGCTACCATTTCCATAAAGCCACCATCAAAACGTTGAGTTAAAAAGATTTTAGCTGATAGGGTATTTAGAGTATCTCAAAGAATAGTTCATGAATACTTAATGAAGTGGGGGGGGTTTAGGACTAGAAGAAACCAGTTAGGAGAGAGATCATTACTTCCAAGCATTCAAGCAGAATAACGAAGAATTCCAAGCCAACAAGTCAAAAAGGGCATCGATAAAATAGGTGGGGGAGAATGTCATGAGCCAAGCTTGTATAAGGCCATGACCGGGCATAGGTTGTCATGAGCCACCCATGTATAAGGCCATGATCGGGTAAAAGTGCCAAAGGGAAGGGTAGATCTCATGTGCTAGGAAAAAGTGTTCCCTTTTCAAACATTGTAATGGTTCTTGATAGCATAGCTATAAAATCTCATTAGCTCTTTAGAGGGGATGAGCAATCGACGTATTGTTGGGATGCCTCATTGGCTAAGGTACCTTTTAGACCATCTATCTAAGGCACGTGCTAGACCATCTATCTAAGGCTGCCTTTATGGCCTTAATGATGGTGAAAAGGCTCATACTATTCTCGATATTAATAAAACATTGTTTTTATATGGGAATGTCGGGGGTCATCTTGGTGTGTTCTTATTTTGCCCCTATATATCATTGTTTATGCTTGAGATTAAGTTGTAGCTTGCTGGTTGCCTATTCAGATATCAAATTATCCTAGGCTGACTTATGTGAAAGCGTCCATTCAAGTGCCGCATGGTCTATTACTTCATTGGTAGAAAGCTTAGCTTGTGACACCCAGCCTCTCCAATGGTTTTGAGACCGGGCAGTCAGGTTGCAAATCCACAAGCTCTTGACCCCAAATCAGCGGTTCAACTGCAAGCACCTCAAACACCATCTTTCCAGTTTGGTATTTCCAATTCTACTCCCCAACCAGTAATGCAATTGTTTCCAAGGCCACGGAGTGGTAACCAGATGGGTTTGCCGCAAACTCACTTATCTTCTTCACTGCTCACTGCAGAGCAAACCAGATCTACAGCATTCCCAAGTGCCGGTCCTTTTGCTAATACAGCTCCAGTTTCACAAATGGGATTGAGAAACTTTGTTCCATCTCCCCCAACACCTAATATGGCTGGTTCCTTTCCTTCCGGGCCAGGGCATTCTTTGCAACGTCAACAGCACTACCCAGCTCGCCAACTAGGCCAGGAAATTTCACGACTCCAAACCCACAATTTGTCAGCGGTCTTTTCCCGCAATCTGATAGGCCTATGTCTGGTCATTCTACTGGACCATCAAGTTTATGATCCTTTCTCTCCCACTTCTGTTCCTGGGTTATCTCAACACCAGGGAGATGGCCAAGCAAAAGCAAGAAAGCAGGAAAGTGATCCGGAGTATGAATTTGATGGCTTTCAGTAGGAGTAAATTAATAACCATTTTGATTAATTTGTTGTAACTGCCCCAATCGGGAAATAAAATTTCAGGTTTCCTAGAAATTGGTTTAGACTTTCTGTTTGAAGATGTTATATATGGGGAAAAAAAAAGGAATTCTTTTGTTCGATTGCTGATGATTCCTGATTTTATGTTCATCTACTCTCCTTACTCGTCAGGTAGCTGAATCTGACTGTTTGGACCATATAAGCTTTCGGAAAGGCACAAGATTCAGTGGACAACATATGAAAACAAGATTTTGAGGCATCATTTCCCCCAACCCGGCCACCCCAAGTTTCACAATTGTCCGTTCCTGACTATGGAGCTTTAATTTGTCCAACTCAATCGCTGTATGTACCCATAAAGTTGGAAATTTAAAACAGGAGATAATACAATATGAAAAAATGAAAATGATACCATTTAAAATTTTAATAAAAATTATAAATAAATTTTAAAAAATTAAAAAAATAAAATTTATATTTTCGTATCGATACATGATATTTTTATAAAAAATAATAAAAATATACTATTTTTTAATATCTTGTAAATATATAAATTATCAATATTTTACATGATATCCGGATAAATGCTGATAATCAAAATCCAAAGCTAGACAAAGAATTGTGGTGTCTGTAGCCGTTCCATTTTCGGGTTAGCATGGTAGTCATTGTCACACAAACTCAGCAAAAATGATTGCCTACAATGAAGATCTCTTAATAGAAATTAATCACCACAAAATTCAGTGCATTGCTTTTTCTCATTACCAATCCTAATTGTCGTGTTGTAAAGCACATGAAAAACAACAGGTGAGCATAAGATCCTATGGGTAATTTTAATATGTACACATTACGGACTGGATACATACAAATGATAAACTTACATCTTATAGATACCTTAAATTGAAGGACCTGACCTTAGAATCCTTTCTAATTTCTCAGCCTTGATGTAATCTATTTCAGTGAGAGATCCCGCCGGAAAAGGCGTTATTTCCACTGTAAGGTGAGGTGTAGGAAGCTCATCCAACAGAGCCCTAACATTGTTGCAGCATACACTTTCACCATGAGCACTCTGCCTCCTGATCTGACAACCCTGCAAATAATACAACGTGTCTAAAACATGTGATTCCATGCCACCTCCAAAATATTAAGGAGAAACAATGGAATAACGAAAAAAAAAAAGGATACCAATAAATCTGCTGTTCTTATTACCTTGTGGGAAGTGACATCATTAAAATGATCATCATCTGAAAGTAGAGATGCAACTGCTTTAAGTAGTTGCCGTCCTTCTGATTTGGAAGGCACCCTGTAGTTTCTTTTAAGTGTACCTTTTGTGGTTGGATGCCATTTGCTGACAAACTTTCTTTTGTCAGCTGCTTCCTTGTCTACAAGCAGAAAAAAGCTAGAATTATTCCTTGCAAGGAAAGCAATGCACCGCATTGAGATTATATTTGCAACAAAAAGGACAATGAGAGTAAAGCAAATAGTAATGATATTGTTTTATACATCTTGAAGAATAAAAGCACTAAAACACCCAAAACAAAGAATCATTTACAGAGAATGATTCCATTTGTATTTCAAAAGATACATAGGATACAGTTCTAGACACAATAAAAGAACATTATAAGGAATATCTTGTTGGAAGTAAAATGCGGTATCATAACGAGACTACATCCCAAATTGGCAAATTACAATGTGTATCAACTGTTTAATATACGGTATTCCCTTCTGTAAGATGGAAAGACAAACCAACTAAAGCAAATCCTATCAGGATTAAATCCAAACAATTGCCTTCAGTTTACTCCTTAGTATGTTTGTTGCCAAAAATCTAGAGCTAAGCTATAACTAACACAACCTAGGAATTAATTTATCTCATCGATAGACCATGATGAATAACAAGTTATTTTTTGAAAACAAAAATCTAGGCAATAAAAATTTTCAGACTCAGTGGTCCCAATAGTTTTAAGCACACATGGCATTTTGCAGATCTATTTTCTTCCATCAAGAATTTACAATATAAGACCATCACAACTCAGCCTAATTATTCCTCATGGTTATAAAGAATTATTAGTGCCTAGTTCCTTTACTCCATTAGTTCACAACTCAAAGCAAATAAGGCATGGAACAGGAAACCTGTTTAAACTATTGAAATTTACTAGATTGGAGAAGCCTGATCAATGAGAAATTAACTATAAAGACAAGCTTATCCTCTTTATAGATTGAAATGAAATAGAACTTCGGCAGCCTTGAACTTCGTAAAGTTTTAGATTACTTTTCACAACTGCGAATGCAAAGCAGGGTCTAACATTTAAAATCAAATTAACATCTATCTATTCTAAATGATTCTCCTATCAGCCACAAAAAGGTCTAATAATATATGCAGCATTTATAATGGCTAAGAAGGTATCTTTAATTGGCTATTGTGGTACAAGAATAAACGTTCTGCAATTTCTCATGAACAGGACAATGAGGACAAATAAATTGAAACAAGACGATGATGAGAAAAAAAGCCTTTTCACATATTTGCAAACTAAATTGAAATAACTAACTCTTTTCACAAGTTTAACTATTCCTTACTTTATGATCAGCCTTGAAAAAAAAAAGTACACTAAAAACTAAACATCTCCTTAATATTATGAAAGAAATCTTTGGTGCATTGATGAATAATAATTGGACACTGTGTTATATTAATTTAAATGGTTGTCCCAAACCTAAGGGCACACCGTGTGCCTAAATCCTAACCTAAAAGATCAAACAGGTCACCTTTTTTTCCCAGGACGGCATCCAAGTGTTTGAATCCAACTTATTTTTCCACATGGATGTTCACATGACTCTGAGTGGTAGATTCTGTAGGATTTTTAATGAAGGTTGACGAAATGGATGAGTTTCAAATATTACATGGGAAATGAATCAAAAATTGAGTTTTAAAGATCATTGATAAAAATGAAATATTACAGCAAAATAATCGATGTCTAGTGCAATTTACTCACACAACACTCAATATATTCAGCTGAAAGCTCTTCACAAACACATCAACCACTTGAACCAAAATCTTAATATTGAACTATCACAAATCTCCAAGTGACTCGCTTAGAAGCAATGTTGTTTCTTCCACACTGAACTCAGCCTACCATGATTTTTTTTTTAGTAGACTTCCATACCCCAAATCAGAGGTAGATCCTAATATAAGCTAGAGGGGGCCTTGCCCCCACACCCCCCAAAATTTTAGAATCCCCCAAGTCACACTAGGTGTCTGTTAATAGAATTAATGAATTTAGAAGCCCTTTCTCCCACCGTTAGGGGTGAGCAAAAGTCGATTTGAACCGATTAAATCGACCGAAATTGAGTGAATTCGGTTGAATCAGTTCGGTTTATTCAGTTTCAATTATAATCAATTTTTTAAATTGATTAAATTGGTTATTTCGATCGATTTTTTATTTTTAAAATTGATAACCAAACTAATAAATTAACTGACCTTTTAATAAGTAAAAAAAATTGAGATAAATATTTTTATTTATTTTTTTCTTGTAAAATATCGTTGAAATTATTAAATTCTTTAGTCCTTTTAATTTGAATGATACTTGAGTTTGAATTTTATTGAATTGAATTTGTAGTTAAATAATTATTCATAATAGGAAGAAAAATGATAAAAAATCTATTATTTAACCGAATCGATTATGGTCAGTTCGGTTATGATCGGTTATTTAATAATATTCGATCGGTTTGATTATCTGTTAAATGAAAATCGATTCAGTCGGTTATTAATTTTTTCAAACCGAACTGATCGAACCAGCCAATTACTCAATCGTACCCACTGTGAATGCATTATGCTCGATTGACTTAGTTAAACCACCTAACAATATTCAGCTAAAAATACTTTGAACTCCAAGTAGCATAGATGCGGGGTGGACCAGTAAAACAGGTCTCCTAGAGGTTTTTCTTAGGTAGCTAAAACCTGACAATTCATGAACGTGTATTGTATACAATATTAATTCATGTATTTTTTTTTCTTATTTTAAGTTAGTTTAACAATTGATTTATTTATGCTTTTATGTTTAAAATTGTTCACAATTTCAAGTAAGATTATTTATTTGATGTATTATGTCTGTTTGTACATTTGCTTATGAATTAATAAAATTTATAACTTTGTAAATTAGTTTTAGTATATTTCTTTCATTTATATATATATTAATAATATAATATTATACATTTGAAAAAAAATTAATATAATATTAATTGACGCTCTCAAAATCAAGATCCGCCACTACCCCAAATTTTTAGAAAATTAAACAATTCCATTAAAAAAATTAAACAATTAACTCTATATCTTGATCTTACATTTTCAAATCTTATCAATATGCTTGAAAGAAGAAATGAAGAAAAATGGAGTAAAATTAATTAATGATAGGAAATAAAGAAAAGCCATTAACCCGGTTTCCCTTGTATATTCTCAAACCACTTAGAGAACCCCAAATCACGTGATTCACCAACACTACCACCACCTCCAAGCCCTAACCAAAGACAAAAAAAAAAAAAAAAACCAAAACAAAAACCTCAAATCTTTATAAATATATGTACAACCTGAGATAGATGGGTTAGCCTAAGATCCAGCTAAACCAACCTTCAAAAGAGCATAGCAAATGCAAAGCCTACTAGCCCAAAGTATTGGAGCCTCAAGCAGGGAAGCATGAATTCTAGTAGCTCTTCTTGGTGTCAGCTTGAGTGATGTTTTTTTGGTGGGTTCAATATTGAAGATAGGGAAAAGGGTTTTGGGGAGTAAAAGTGTGGATTTTGAGATGGGAAGTTGATGATGAAAATAAGCTGCTTTGTACAAGAGAAAGTAGCATTTCTTAATTTCTTTTGTGTTTTTTTTTTTTTTTTACTTTGAAATAGTCACTTTCTACGAAAATAGAGAGATATTGGATCACCGTTATACAGGTGTTGGTGTAATTTTGAACTAAGAAACGACGTTGGTTTTCCTAAATAAAACAAAGCAGTTGGGGAAATTGGGTTTTCACAGTTGAGGACTAAATCAAGAGAAAAAGAGAGGAATGGAGCAATTGTATTTTGGTTTAGAGGAGGAAGACGAAGTGGAATCCACAGTGTGTTCAAGTAAGGATTAAGATATGGTTATGGCTTATATGCATTGTTAAATCTATTTTTCGTTTATATTTAAGTTAAAGTCATTAAATCTGATAAAAAAAAATGAACTATTGTGATAACAAAATATTATTCATAACAAAATAATAAAAACACAAAATACCCAATATCCAAAACTAAATCTATTGATTATAACAAACTCAAAACCAAATGAGTTCTTCAAGTATTTTCTCTTCTTGGTTAGTATGCTTTTGCAAATGTTTTTTCAATTATTTGGTTTAAGGTTAAAGATTTCTCTCTTTTTTTTTTTTTTGGTGACTATGTCTTTTAGTGTTGTTTTTGGATTTTTGTTTCTTACATTTTCAATTCATCTCGGGGTGAGTCGAGTCATGAATGTTTGGATTTGAGATCTTATAAGTTTATTACAACTAATTATCCTATCGAATTTGATTGTGAAGGAAAAATCATCTTTTGCCATTGCAATTTGAAGGCATCTAGGTGAACTTCATGGAAAACGTTAAACCTTAGTAAAAAACTTTATGGATGCTAACAATACTCAATAATAATCTTTTATATTTTCGTGAAAGAACAATATATTGTTGACCAAGCTAAATATGATGATGAAAATTTTTCATATTGATTATAGGAAATTATATGTGGTTTGCACTCATTGCATGATCCAAGATTTTATGATAGAGAAAGGGAGAACTGAGAAAGAGAGAAATGTTGTTGTATGATCAAGTTAAAAAATTGAAGAATGAAGTATCAAATTTGAAAGAAAATGTTGTGGATTACGTTAAATATGAGGTTATCAAAGAAATTTTGAATTGAAGAGAGAAGTTAGTATGTTAAAGTTAAAATTGAAAGATAAAGAAAATGGAAAAAGATAAATTTTGGTTTTGTCAGTATTTGTTAATTTTATGTTTTGTTTGTTTATTTTCAATGGCAGAAAACAAGAAGAAAAAATTTGTATGCTTGGTTTAAACATGTAAATCTTGATTATAGTTATGAATCATGATTTAAGTTGTTTGGTTTGAATTATATAAAGCATGTTTTAATGAATGAAAATGTTTTTCTTCCTATAATGGATGTTTGGTTTTGAATTGTACAATAAATGTTTTAAAAATGATGAGAATATTCATTCATGTCAGCACATAAAGGGAATAGATATTCTGTAGCATAAATGTTCTATAACATTTTCATTTATTTTAGCAACATAAATGTTCTATAACATAGATGATAAGAACATTTATTCATTTCAACAAAATTTTAAGCAACATAAATGTACTAAACAAAAAAAGAACTTAATTTACATCAATAATATGTTTTGTAAAACATTAAATAAAAGAGTATAAAACAGTTTTACAACTAACATAAAACAACATTGTTCAAATCTTTTGTTTTCCCTTTGTTACTTTTTCATTTGAAACTTAAAGTTGACTCTTTTAAATAGGAACCACATTATCAACAACCTTCTTCTTAGTCTTGCTTGTCTGACTACTAATTGATATAAGTTTTTAATTTGGCAACACAAGTTGTAACATCAAAAAATGGTTAAAAAACTTTTATAAACCCAATCCTTAATAACTAATGTAACTAAAAGTATATAAAACACAATAACACTTACATTTAAGATTTAACTCCCTATTTACAATCTATCCCCTTTAATGGCTTGTTACTTAATTTTGGAAAAAGCTTTTGAACGTTTGGTGTTCTTCCTCTAGCCTATACCGTTATTTAAAATAGCTCTCTTTCTAATGGTGGTTGAACTAGATCTAGCCTTTGATAATGGACTTTCACTTTTTCCACCAATCATGCCATAAAATCTTTTTTCAGAATATGCAAAACATCTCTTAGGAACTATAGCAAATTTGGATTGATTTTCATTACTAGCAGCAGTAACACTACTTATTTAGACTGATTTGCTTGACAGTCCATAACCATGTTAAAAAACAAATGTAGATACATTCCTAAAGCCAGAAATAGAAGTAGAAGCAAAAGCAAAAGCTAAACTAGATGAAGATACAGAAGCAGAAGCAAATACTAACCCAAATGTAGAAACAAATACTAACCCAGATACAAATACAGAAGTAGAAATAAAAATGGTACAAATAAAAGTAGAGGCAGAAGTAAAGGTATTACCCTATCTTTATTTCTTTCTTCTTGCAACCTTAGTTGATGCTACATTTGCATTTGTTACACCAAGTCCTCCAATATCAATGTTGTCTTTAATCATTTATCTTTGAGATAATGGTTGGCATTAAAGGTTAGGTTATGGTTAGTACATCTAATAGTGAAATAAATTATAAATGAAATAATTATTAGATAATAAAATAAAATAATAAAAAATTACCTCATTACCCCTCATAGGACAGCCTTTTTTGTTATGTCTTTTATGACAGAAAGTGCTTGTCATTATCATTTTACTATTTTATTTTTTGGGTTCATTCAAGTTTTTTTTTGTTAGTTTTGGGTCTTTTTGGCATGTTTCTATTCTCTGGTGGGTTAATTGACTTTTTTGTCATTAATTAAGCCAATCTTTTCCCTCAGGCATAGACTATAAGGCATTACCATAAGCCAACAAGTAAATCTCCTTATAATACCAACTAGAGACATAATTTTTCACATTTCCCATTAAGTCTCTAATTGCACATATAGCAAATGCACATGAGATACCAAAAACTGTAAATCTTCTGACAAAAAGCTTCCTACCTTGAAGGGGTCATGCTGTTTCATATATTTGATAGCCTTTTTAAATCATTCTATTTGAGGAACAAGTAAACTTCCTTTGATAGTGTAGAGATATGACCAGGTGGTAAACAATATCTTTCTTCTTACTGCTTCTTCTCTGACTCTAGCTTCACATTAGTAGGCAAATCACATTTGAAAAACATAAATGAGGCATAAACCTAACATTTTATGGGGTCCATGAGAGCTTTTGTTGAAATGACTTTTAGGGCAAGAATACTATGCAATCTGTAAGTATGTTTATGAATATGTACAAGACGAAAAGAAATAAAAGAAAACAAGGAAATTAGTTAGTCATTTCAATTATAAAAAAATATAGAATAAGCATCATATACCAAGTAAGACAACAACATGACCTTAGATTTGGGTTAACTACAAAAAGTGAAAGGATAAGGCTTTACCTATGGTTGAGCGTTTAATGTTAACTTTAAAAGGTTCCTAAATTGTTTCTTACATCATTATCCATCATAGACTAGTAAGGCATCTCGATCCTCACCCATCATAAGTTACAAGCAAAAATGGTTCAATTTTAGTGGGAGTGTTTCATAAGCCCATGTGGAGACATGAATTCTCATGAGGGCATAGGTACTTCATTCCCTCTTAGAGGTAGAGCTCAGGTGGAGAGCTTATGTTATGCATATGCAAATGAATGACAAATATATATAGTAAATAATTAATTGAGCATGTATAAGCAATGAAAGAAATAAACAAAGAAAAAAATAATGAATAATTAAGCAGGTATAAACAATGAAAAGGAATAAAAAATAAATAATTAAGCAAGTATAAGCAATAAAAAAATCTCAAATTTATTAAGCAAGACCTAGATAATAAGGAATCATTTACTGGCTTGACTTTCGAGGTCCCCAACAGAGTCGCCAAACTATCATAATATATAGATTCATGGACTTACCGCTAGACATGGGTGAGAGGAGTTACCACTAATTTTTTTGTTTAGGTATGATTGACCACCTAGTTGAATCTGATCTACAAAATCGGAGTTTAGATTCAGGACTACGGTTACTCATGGAGAATGTTATAGCATCCTCACAACATCCATCTAAAAGACAGTACCAGTTTGATTTTAAATTATCAAAGCCTTGATCATATTTGTAATTTACCAAATAGTTTAATATTGAAAATATATCTTAAAATTGTCTCCATAGTTTGGTAGCAATTTAAGATAATTCTCTTACATTTGAGTATTCATAGAGACTAGTATCTCATTCTAAAAAGGCTTCATCTTCAGATTTGTTAATTTATTTTATTTCAGAAAAATCAATAAAGTCTCTCAATAGTTTGGTAGAACTTACTTTGAAACAATCTTCCAATAGTTTGGAAGATAAAATTATATATTATTTTTAAAAATCAATTTATGAAACTTTTCAATAATTCGGTGGATTCCATTTTAAAAATTAAATATATGAAAATTCTTCAATAATTTGATAAAATTCATGAATTTATTTTGTAAGGGTTTTTATTTGAAAAAGATTTTCTTTTTTTGTTTTTTTTTTTCTACTTTTTTTTTCATCTTATTTGGAAAAGACTTTTTTCCTTGCTTTTTCTATTTTCTAGAAAGAAAAGATTTTTTTCTTTTTTTTTATATATATAAATATTGAATTGCTAAATAAAATAAAAAAGTAAAATAACAACAAGAAAAGAAATTTAAATAAAACTTAAAATATGAAATAAATGAAAATCAAAAAATAAAATAAAAATGGAAAAAAAACCTTGCTAAATGGGTCGGGTCTGCACGCAGATCTTCACTCGAGTTGCTAGGTAGACACGCGGATCTAAGGTGTTCAAAACGTTGTCATTTTGGACCTAGTATAAAAGCCATGTCTTTGCGTCCAGCTTCAAAAATCTTCTACCCATTCTTTTTTTAACCTAAAAACTTTCTCCCTTTTCTCTAAAAACCTACCTTAAAATTTAATCAGAATCTAAAAACTTCGTTGGTTTCTGAAAATTTCACTTGAATGTCACCTTAAACTTCAAACTCTCATTGAAAACTTCATTGGAAAACTCATGTGTCTTCCAAAATTCTAGAATTTTCTAGAAAAAAACATAGAAATTCTCCAACCTTTCTTACTTCCCTCTAAAATCTTCCATAAATCTAAACCTAATCTTATAATCCCAAATTTAAACCTAGAAACTCTAGATCAAACCCAGAAATCTCCCAAATCAAAACTCATAAAGCCAAAATTTCCAAAAAACCTTATTGCCCAATAATAACCCCAACTTTTTCACTCCATGTTTCCTTTGTCATTCCTTTGATTTCTTATTCAATTTATAGACCCTCTTAGAATAGATTTTAAGAAATGGAAAGAATTAATCCCGAGTTGAATCCTATGATTGGATTTTGGTTAAGTGTGATCTCAAAGCTGAATTTTTGCTAATACCTAGGATCCAAATTAAAGACTTCATAAACCTCTTTTGACCATGATCAATTGAATCAATTTTAGTTTCCAAAATTGTCCTCACAGATTGAACATGAAAGGAAAGCAGGATAATAATAATAATAATAATAATAATAATAATAATAATAATAATATAAGATATTATACTATATACTATACTATAATAATACTAATAATATTATACTATATCATACTATACTATAGTAAAAAAATGACACTAATAAAGAAAATTGACTCCGATTTATCTAGACACAGATGAATGCCTATAACTATTATTATTTTTAGTTAAAGAGTGTTTTTAATGTTTATTAGTATGCAGAACAATGATTCACATTATTTTTTTTTGCACATGTAAGCCACAACCATCATGAAACCCTTATTTAAACATATTCGAAAACTTTAAATCATAAATTAAACCAAATTAAAACTAATATTATTAATTGGAAAAACATGCAAACATTAAAACTGTAATTGAGCATTTAACCTTGACAAAACACAAACAGGTTAACTCTCCTCTTTTTATCTTATCCCAAATCCCAATCCCATATCTTAGCATTTTTTTGTCATCATTCTAAGCTCAATTAGTTCAGTTTAAGTCCAAACCTTCTCGTCCAGCCGGTATTTTGGGATTTGTATAAAGTCCAAGAAAGTATAACAACTACTACCTTATATGTATATGAGCACTTAGTGTGTAATTTAGACAAATCAAATCCATATATTGTCAGTCTTGAGCTTAGCTCTACTCTTGAAAACTTGAGGTTGTAAGTTTTATTCCAACTCAATCAAAACTTTATTTTTCATTTTCTTAATTTAATTAAATTACTCAAACTTGACTTAATAGATTCCATCATATTCAATAAAAATGTATATATTAACATAAACACAATAATTATCATTTACTCTTATATATATATATATTAAAAATAAAAACTCAATAAAACTCTAAAATCTCTCAAGTCGAATATTAAATTAATTATTCATTACTCAAATAGTTTGCTCAACTTGACAATAAACCAGTGCAGCTCAAATATTTTTCAAATTAAACCCGAATCACTAACGACTGAATTGCCTCGAGGTAAAGAAAAGTTTTTGATCAATTATTTAAGACTTCAGTTAATAATACATCTGTGTTCTATGCTTTAAAAGGAACTCCGTATGCTTTATAAAATTCCATCATAACTTTGGTACTTAGACATTTGTGCTTCCATCAAAGGCTAGTTATCTATTGCTAATAACATTTACCTCTGCAACTTGAATCCTCTGAATATAAGGAGCATTAAAGATGCTTTCAGGGTCCAGTGCAGGAGGCCTTCGCATTCTTTCAATGCAAGTAATCCTTGAAGCAAAGTTACCGTAATACATTAAACAATAACAGGAAAAAAAGTAGACAAACCTTGGGAAAACTCTTTCATATTTTTACAAACCGAACATCATCCTGACCAAATGCAGTTCCACAGCCGGGGCACTTCGGATGGCATATCTCTAAATTTCTCTGAATACGTGGATTGCAAAATAGATGATAGCATTTCACAATTACAACCTGCCAAATATAAAGCAAGAACACATCCATCAGTGCAATCCAAAGCAGATAAAACAGGTGAAAAGATTAGAGAAGAAATCAGGCCAGCATATCATGCTCACCTCCTTTGGCCTGTCAAAACACACACCGCATTTCATAATATTCTTGCAACTTTTTATTTCATCCTGGAGCCTCTGTATTGCAGTCTCTTCGGTTTCAGAACTCAACTCAGCAACCTTGCTATTCAATTCACTGAGATCTTCCTCAAGTTTCTTCCTCTGGCTTCTGGGTGCAGAAAATCCCCATTTTATTAGAGAAGAGAGATTTAATTGGCAGGAAAGCTAAACAAATTATTTAAAAGTTGAAGAAGAGGATTGCATTTGGAAAGGGTTTAAGGTAACATTTCTAAAGTTTGAGGGACACAAATTAGAATCTCAGGAAAGCCTATGATGAAATGTGCCAGTACAAATACAGTAAGGGCATAGGTTAAAGAATTGTTGTTGTAGCAATTGTTGACAATTATGACAGCCTGTCCCACATCTTTCTTTGGAGTTAATTGTGCACATTATATGATAAGTGATACACAACAAAGTAATGCCTTTAGAGCCATATAAAGAGTTTATACCTTTTAATTCCACCAATATATACATATATATATATATATATATATATATATATTGACTGCTGGGTAAGACATAAACTATAAACCTGGGAAACCATCAAAAAAGGAGAAAAGACAACCCACCGTTCCTCATCCAACTTCAATTGGAGCTCATCCACCTTCCACTGGAGCTGCTCTTAGTCCTGTTTAGAAGATGCTGCAGCAGATTTAAGCCAGTTGAACTCCTCCTCAGCATCTGCCAACTTCCACTTTGCAGTTTTAAGGCTAATCATAAAATGTTTGTCCTCTTTAGAGAATTTCTTCTGTCAAACAAACCTTCATCTGCAAGGTTTATACTATAGGTTGATAAAAAAACAAATACAAACAAGTAAACAAATTTAGAAGGCAAATTTTGTGAAACAAGGTTTAGTAGCAGACTACTAACTAATTTTACCTGCTCCTCACTGTATGCAATCGTCATTTTCTCGGATAAAATTGATGAATTGACCTGCTGAAGTTGCCTTGCTAACGTCTGCTTCTCAGAGAGAAAGAAACTATGTGCCTGCTTTGTCTTTACACTCTCAGAGACAAGCTGCATAACCCCATCACAATTACAAAGAAATGGCCAAAGCATCAAGACCAGATAATTGAACTACTTGACAATATAAACAGAAAGCAAGAATACAGTCAAAGAAACAAGGTATATAACTATGCAATGGACCTTAATATTGTAGTCATCTCTCTCAGTCATCGGATGTTGGTTCTGTGTTTGCATAGCTTCACATGCCTGGCCAATGGTCTGGAACATAATAAAAGAGATTTCTCATCATTGGGACAAAGAAGAGGTAGAAAATGGCAAGAGTGGTACCGAAGGAAAAGGCAGCTCTAGCAATTCAGTAAAAATGAGAGAAAGGTGGCAGGAACGAAAAATGAAAATACTTTTTTCTAAAGGGAAAGGAATTGAAAAGACACTTTTCAGAAATGCATGTCTGTGACTCTCTATTTTCAATAGCCTCTGAGAGCTCCAAAACATCCCTGTGACTCTCAACATAAGATCGAAAATCTATAGGACACTAAATATAAAATCTAAACCAAAAGACCACTCTTCACTAAATGCCACAATTTCATGATCGACCAACCTATGCTTCTTTGATAAAATCTCCTTCATGAATCGAGTGTAGCTAGGCATCTGCTCCGAAGCATCCGCAAAGGGAATGTTAATATGTAGCCTCTTAAATTCTCTTCAAAATTTTGAAAATTGTTGATCAGAAGTTCGCTGCTGTTGGGGTATCTAGGGTCTAGAATGGTAGCACCAGGACTAGATGAAATATTGGCATCAGTACCAGCAGGCTGAATGACTACATTCTCCACCTTCTCCTTTACTTAGGCTTCTCTTCTACTGTAGTAGACTCTATGGGTGCAGCTATAAGGGTGGTCCTATCGTTGCCACTAAGTACCTCTTTACCACTCCTAAGGTAGATCACCTTGTAGTGTTCTTTTCCTTTTCTGTTTGGATGGATTTCGTTGTTGCTGGGAAGGGTACCTTGTGGGCGATTGTTGAAGCACTAGCAATCTGTCCCCTTTGCACCTCTAAGTTTTTAATAGCAGCTGCCTGACTTTGAAGGGTAACAGACGAACCTTGGATGAGATTGGCTTGATTCATCAACAAATTGATTTAGTTTTGGAGAATGGAAGAGAACATGTCTTCAAAAGAATTTTTCTTTTCTTGAAGGGTGGGTGGGTATGGCAAAGGGTGTTGAGAAAAACTGGAAGGTTATTGAGGTCTAGAGTTGGAGGATTGACCCTGAATGTTTGTCCATGAAAGGTTCCAGTGGTTTTTCCAAGCAGGATTATATCTGGGGGAGTAAGGAATATTTGTTGCCTACTAAGCTGAGCAATAGAATGGACAAGCTCAATCCTAATAGGACAACAATCTACTGAATAACCGTTTCCACACATCTTACTGCTAGAGAAAGGACTAATCAAATGGATTGGGCTAACATAATGGACTGGGTTATAAGTATGGCTAGATCCCAAAGCGTCCATTTTCATAGTTAGAGCTACTATTTGCGTAGTCAAAAAAGTGATGGCATCAATCTCATACAAGTCGGCGGATTTTCGAGGATTCTACCTTTTAGATGTCCACTAATAATGGTTTGCGGCCATTTTCTCAATCAGCTCACAAGTGTCTTCAATAGATTTGCTCATCAGAGCTTTCTTGATAGCAGCATCTACAATGGATCGGTGGTGTCCCAAAAATCTAATGCAAAAATCTGAATCTCAAGCCATGGTGGAAATTCGTGACGGGGACACCTCCTAAGCAACTCCTTATACCCTCCCATGCCTCATACAGTGGTTCAGGTTCCTACTGGGAGAAGGTAATAATGTCATTCCTTATTTTTACGGTCTTTGCAAGAGGAAAGAACTTTGCCATAAATTTATACGCTAAATCAACTCAAGTGGTGATCGATTCAGAAGGCATCGAGGTAAGCCATCTTTTAGCCATATCTCTTAAGTAAAAAGGAAACAATCTAATACGAATGACGTCATAAAAAAATGTCATTGTGCTTAAAGGTGTCACAAATTTTAATGAAGTTTTCGAGATACGATTTAGGTCCTCACTAGCTAAACCCCAAACTAAACAGAGTTCTAAATCATCTAGATGATAATGGGCTTAATTTCAAAAGTGTACGCTTGGATAGGTGGCCTTCTAATACCGGCTTGAAAACCATTAATGTTGGGCACAACATAATCTAACAAAGTTCTATGATCAAGTGGGTTGGCCATAGGTTGGGTAGGGTTAGGGGTAAGGTTTTTTCAATTTCAGGATCCAAAGGAACAAGATCTAGGCTCCTAGCCTACGCATAAACTAACCATGGAATCACAGGATAACAGATGAAAAATGAAAATAAAAATATTAACCTAAAAATAAACAAATAAAATAAAAATATTTATGAGAAAAGAAAAAACCACACTACACCCTAGCATGTCTCTATTGATATTAACCCTAACCTAAATACATCAATCCGAGACAATGGTTCCAAAAATTTATTACTTTAGGAATACCGTAAATGTACAAATCACAAAAGCAATATAGATCAACAATATTCTAGATATCGTCTCTTCAGGGATTGAAAGTTCTAGACATAGACATAGGAGAGTTTGTGATGGTGGCATCACTTCCGTGGACCTCAAGTTTGCATAATTGAATTCTCATTCGTAACTAGATTAATTTTAATTTTAATTAAATTTTATGTTAATAACTGAATGAGTTTTGGGCAAATCCAACACAATATTGAGTTATTGTGTGGCAATTATCTTAACTTTGGATAGATATAAACACATTAATTTTTTTAAGAAGAAGAAGATATAAGCATGCTACTGAAATTCTTGCTTTCTTCTTGAACGTGGAAAAACTCAACATTCAATTATGTTCCTACTAAGGCATTTAATATAGAACTTACAATTAACACACAATATGCTATGCACAAAAGAAATTAATAAAAGGCAGTTATTTATTACAATAATTTTAATAGTATCATAGACAGTGAATTTATGCATTTGATTCAGAGACTTTTTTTTTTTTTTATTTCAGAATATTGTTGATTTAATGTTATATAATTATTTTAATATTTTTAAACAAGTAAATTATTTTAAATATATTTTTCCTAAGTTTATTGTATCATTATCTTAAACTCCAACTATTATACTAAGGATTAGAGAGCGTGTTTAGCAAAATACAAGGAGAGAGGATTTAATTGATTTTTCCATTAAGATTAGTTTTCTTTTTTTTTTTCGTACGCTAGTGCATTTTCAAACTTTACGTAAGAATAACCTTTTTTTTTTTTTTAAAGTTCACACTCTCTCGTTTTATCAATTTAAAATTTTTTTTTGAAATATTTTTTACAAAAATCGAACACTAGTTAATAAGAAAAGAAAATTCCTTTTTTTTATTAATTGAACTAATTTTTGGGGGGTTTAAGGTCACTTGTAGTCGATAAAAAACGTGTTTGTGTGTATAGATTTGTTAGGAATATCAAACTTATCATGCGAAAAAGAAAATATGCCCTTGATTCTGGATATATATTTAATTAAATTTGACATTTTGGTTTAAATGATTTGTAATTTTTATGAAAAACGGAAGAAGAAATCCACGGTAAAGCCGGAGCGGCCGATAGTCATTGGTCCGATCAATTTTTTTAATGGTTAATTAAAAATTTAGTTAAGTTTATTTTTATAAATTTTTACAAGTATTAATATTTAATAAATTTATAATTAAATATCAACTTTTATAATTTTTATTTTAAAATTCGGAATTCTTTTATTAAAAAAAGCTCCTTTGACGATCAGTATCATTTTCTTGAGGAGAAATTGGAAGAGGATTATTAGGAAGTAGGGTTAAAATGCATTTATAATTAGAGATGGTTGAGAGTGATTTTTTCAACAACATACCTTCAACTTGTGAAGGAAGCTTCAATATATAGTACATTAATCATGTTGATTGTCGGATACGAATTCGAGGATTAATAGATGATGAGGAACGTGAGGCAGTCTCTCCAAGTGTGAACATGAATTTTCCCACCTATCACCTTGAAAACCAAATGCACCGTCGCTCAAACTTCATAATGAAAGTGATATGTAATTAACAACTTTCTATCCCCTTCTTTCTTTCATTTTTGTAGAAGAAATTAATACCGATTTATATCTTTTTCACTCCCATAAATGTAATCATTTGACACTTTTGCTTTTTATATAAAAAGTTGTAATGTGGGGATAAAGAAAAAAATTTATAAATACTGTAATTAACATTTTATACTTATTTAATATTATTTTTTAAAAATAAATACATGAATTAATTAACTAACCCCGGATATTACTGTGCAGACTGTTTGTCAACCTTGACAAGCACGAAAAGAAAAAATGAAACAGGCATTGGCATGTGGCCTGTATCAAGTATATCTTAATCTCCTGCTTGTGGGAACCTCAAATCTGACCTGTCAATTGCAAGTGGCGTATTATTCTTCCCATATCAACATCGACTTGTTCCCCACTTATCATTGACAAAAACAATTACGTTATTTATATTTCTTCACATTTATATTTTATTTTATTTATTATTTTCCCATCCAAAGTCATTTTCTAACATATTAGATAGCTTAGAGAGCTCACCAAATTTGAGTTAAAGGCAAGGTGGCAGAATCAGCCTCCTTTCTTCGGGAGAGAAAATCAGAAAAAGATAGGGGTTGTTAATTTTCTTGCTTGTGCAAGTATGTTGAAAAGCTACTGCTTTAAAAAAACACACACACATAGATTCTCTGATTATTAAATTCTTCATTAACATTAGGTGTTAATAACTCAGTTGAGTTCAGTGTATGTTTAAGTTACATGATTGTTTTTAAATGTGATGTGGCTTCAAGTCTGAACAAATAGACAAGGCTGCCTAAATCTAATAAAAATTTCTTGCAAAACAATTCAAAGCGAAACCTTAATTTGTTGCTTTTCAATTTATCATATATAAATTCTTTTTGTCTACTAACTTCTTGTTAAACCTTTAAATATAAAATATAAAATATAATACAAAAATGATATAAAAAATATAAAAATAATACGAATTAAAATTTTAATAAAAATCATATATTAATTTAACAAAAATTAAAAAATAAATTTTAATATATTTTATATTTATATGAATTTTGATATATAATTTTTTTATAAAACATGATATAAATATACAAATTATAATATAATTTTCATATAAAAATAATATAAATATATAAATTATTAATATTTTACAAAATATAAATACGCGAATTAACATATATACTTCATCTACACTTCCAATCACGCTGAAATCACCCTAACTCCAAAGCCCATGAATTCAGACCAAACAATTTCACACCAATTTCTCCCAAACAACACACTTTTTCAAATCCTCTGCCCACGACACATTCTGCTGTCATTAAGCCCCGAATTATTGCAGAGCTTAATTAAAAGGAAGTGGGATTTCCACCAAACTAACTTTGTACACGTACCTAATCGGCACCCAAATTTTTCATTTCTCTTTAATCGACCTTTCTCTGTCCATAGCTGCATAGCCCTTTCCCGTAACAATAAAGCTTTTCGGCTCTCCATATTTGCTCTGCTTCTGAGATTCAACATCATCAGAATCTTCTTCAAGTTCCAGGTCGTCTTCCTTTGTCAATGTCGAATACGTAACCTTTTCTCCGTATAATTTAACCAAAACCAAATAGAAAGCCATCGCAAAAATGGTGAGAGCTATCAAGGCCCAGCTAAATTGAATATTTACTAATGATTTAGCTCGGTGTAGTGCCTCAAGGCTTGAGCACCTAACAACCTGGTGACCCTCTTCAGAGTGGATGAAACAGCCTTTGGGAATCAACCCTGGAGTCCAGAGCATGTGCCCCATGACTATAAGCCACACACCTTGAAACAAAATACTGAGAGACCGAATGAAGCTGACCATGAAACTCTTAGAAAGCCCAATTCCCATGAGGGTGGTGGCTAAAGACACAACTATGGCACTCTGTAAAAGCAAGTGATATTGACCCTCGACTCCCATGTGATCAGCTGAATGAAGGTGGAAGAGGAGTAGTTGTTGGGCAAAGGCTACTGCTCCAAGAAACTGTGTTAGGCTATACTTAGCTTTGGGGCTAATTTTATCAAGGAGTATAGCAAAAGCTGCATAAGTAAAGAAAGTCATTGATATAGCAGAGTGCTCAAAGTTGTGGAGATGATTTGATGGGATGGTTCCATCAGGATCAAAAGGTTGGTGTCTTTCAGGGCCAATAAAGAGCTCCATGGAGATGGAGATGGAGGAGCCTATCATGATCAGGAACAGCTCTATGTACCTTAATTTTGATGTGGGGAACCATGGGGAAGATGAGTAGGAATTTCCGTGAAGAGAATGGAGCTTGATGTGATTAAAAAGATGCCAAAAACCAAGTGCAAAGAAGGCAAAACCCGGTGCAACATGCCCCACTAAAGTACCCATGCCTTCCTATATCTGTATCCCAACTCTTCTTTCTTGCCTGTTTTTGTTTTGTTTTTGGAGAAAAGAGAGGGAAGGGGCTTCTTTTCGATGGTTTAGGGGACAGAGAAACGTTTTAGGAGGAAAAACAAAATAGATGACTAGTTTTAATGTTGGGCAGGGTTGAATTTCTAAAGACTCCAGAGCCTTCTATCGGGGGTTTGAAAGTTTGAACTTCAGATGAGTTAAGGAATAGGTCAAACAGTTGAGCGTATAAGGCAGTTTGCCAAGGAAATGACAAATCAGCCCATCGCTTTGGGTTCGAGAAAATGAATGACTGACCGCATTGTTTCAATTTCATGGGTTTCTTACTCAGCAAATATGAATTTTATCAGAGGCATGTGGTGAATGCTTTTTTCATTTATGAAAGACGCTACAAAAGAAAAGTAGGGGTTTACTATTTGTAGTCAGGCCGCCGGCTTATCGATACTTATTCCTTCAAATTTTAAATTAATTTAAAATACTTAAAAAGTCTCTTAATTATTCTAATTTTTTAAAAAAACAAGCCTTATATTTTTATTATACTTAATTAAGTCCTTATGATTGATTTATATTTCAATAAATCCTTATTTTAAATAAAATATTACTTTATGTTAAGAATTTATTTAAATATAAATTAAAAATTAAAAAAATTATTTGAATACAAATTAAAATTTAAGAATTTATTTAAGTATAATAAAAATATAAATACTTATGATATAACTCAAAGATCTTTTTTTATTATTTTAACCCTTATTTTCTTGTGTGTGGAACATAAGATAATTTTAATTTTTGGCTGCTGGACACAATGTATATTATTAATTCTATTAAAAAATTATTTTAAATAATTTTCTTTAAAAATATTTTTATACTTGATAGTATTAAGAATTAATTTCTCATTAAAATTTTAATATTTTATTAATAAATCATATAATTATTGAAAAATATTTAATCTTAATGAAATAGAGAAGAGCAATGAAAGAAATATTACAAAAGAAATTTCCCAAAGTCAAGTAATCCAATCAAAATAAGGAAAATGATTTTTTTTTTAATAATCCGACCTATTCAATTTTTTAAAATACTTTACTTGTTAATTTCCTTGTCATCCAACCAAAATAAGGAAAATGCCGTCATTTTCCTTTTCCCTTAATTTTCTTTAATATTTTCCTTTTCCTTCAAGTTTTACATGAACGGTAAATCAAAAAAGATCTATTTAGAAAATCACTATAACTACGTCTACAGCCAACTCCATCTGAAAAGGGTAGGGGAAACGGAAATTCCTTTATCTTTTGATACAAATGGTTAACATTTGATGACATGTATATATATAAATATTATATATTATTAATAAATTATATAATAATAATTCATAAAAATTAATTTAAAAACTTTAAACAATAATTTCACTTAATCTTAAAAATATGTTTAAAATTAATTTTTTTATAAAATGTTTTGTGTGATTAAAAACAATGTATAACATTTATAAGAGTGCATCAAATAAATATATATAGATAAAAAATTTTGAAAATGATTATTTTGTATAAAATTAATTATATTTTTGAGATTTAAATTTTTTTAAAAAATGCAAATTGATAAAAAAAATGTGATTAACTCTTTAGTAAATAGGGCGATTTCACTGGGTAACGTTATCGTGTCACAGCTTTGCTATCACTGTGATGGCAACGGCGTCTAAGAAATTGAAAATAACCTTATTTATTTATTAATCGCAGTTGTCCTCTTGCATGATCAAATTGATGCAAGTTATGAGAAAGGAAACCAAATCATGGAGTTGTTATTAAGCAATGACTTTTGTTGTAGTCAGCTGCTAAGCAAAATCAAACTTTGCTCATATGAAAAATACTATAGTTTTGAATTGAGTTTGAATTCAAATTTGATTCCAATGTCGGATTGTGTTTGTATTTGCTTTTGCTTTCACGCAATTTCCTTCGCTAATCGCCACCTTTGTACAATTCTCCCCGGCTACAAGATTATTGTAGAAACCAAAAGTATCAAACGATGCCAGCAGCCTAGTTTTGCTTTTGTTTTTTTGTTTTTTTTTTTTTTTCCTGGGAAACTCCTCAACTACTAGATCCGACTATTTAAGCTAACAGAGAATTTTCGTGTTTGATAATTTCAGCCGCATTTGTATGGTGGGTTTGATCTGACTGAAATTTAAAAATTTTTTTATAGCACGTTTAGTTTACGGAATGAAATAAAATGATAATGAAATTGATATTTTATAAAAATAAAAATAATTATTTTAATGTTTGATTCATTAAAATGGAATAGTATTAATATATTTGGTTAATTCAAAGATTATTATTACCATAAGTTTAAAAGACTATTTTACTTTTTTATTATATTAATTATAATTTATTATAAAATAATATTAATCACAATTAATAAATAAAAAGTAATTATTAATTAACTCAATTATCACTCAATATTAATTATTAATTAATTTAAAATAATCATAATTAATTATTAAAAATAAAAAATTGACTAATAGAAATTGAATAAAAATATTAATTAATAAAAAATTCTTTTTTTCTTTTTTCTTTGGTTTTTTTTCCTTTTTCTTCTTTCCTCCCTCCCTTTTCTTCCCTTTTTTTCTCTATTTCCATTTCTTCCCATTTCCCTTTCTATGTCTAAATCCAAAATACCAGAGTCTTTCTCTACAATCTCACCAGCCAAGTTGGCCGTCGTTGACCACCTTTAATCAAAATCGACGACAACCATCCATCACTGTCGATGGTCGTTAACCAATGCCAAATTCACCTACACGTTAATTTCAACCTCTTTTTCACATTTTTTTACTTGGTTTTTCGAAAATGGCCTAGAAAAGCCTAGATCTAGCCTCTAAGCCCATGGTTTCCATCTTAAAAAAACACCACCTTCCATCGTTCCAAACCATCTGAAAATGACCTATGTCACTTCTTTCACCTAGATCTTCCACATGGTAGGCATAACCTTTCAACCATAACTTGCTTCCTCCATTCTTCCTCTCTTTCTCCTTCGTTTTGATTTTTTATTTTATTTTTGCTTTTATGTTGCTTGTTTATTATGGTTGCTATTTGATGATTTTCTAACCATCTATGGTTGTCAGAGTGCTGTCGCTAGTCAAATATGGTGATTTTGTATTTGGATTTAAAAAAAAAAATATTAGGAGTAAAATGGAGTTTTAAAGATATTTTGGTTTTTTGAGATTTATGGAATTGCAAATAATAAGCGTTGAAGGAGAATGATAACTTCGGCTTTGATCAAAATGGACCAATTGGTCAAAATCTCTTTTGCTTCCTCATTTTTGAACCAAACAGCGAAATAGAATGGGTTGTAGAAAACATATGAAATAGAATCTTAATTCTAATAACTAAACATGCTATTATAATATAAGAATTAATATAGAATAAGTTATCAATTAATCTCATTAAAAATAAAATTTGTAATAAATTGATTTTGCTAAAATGAAAATTTAAGAATTAATATATAAATAGTAAAATAATTTGTGGTCAACATATGATTAGTAAAAAAAAAACATAATGTGTAGTCAAGACTAGAATAATATTAGTACTACTTGGCAAAAGGTCAAAAAAATTATCGAAAAAATTCAATAATCATATAAGCATATGATTTTTTATTACAATAAATCAAAACTCTGAATTTTTTATTTGCATTTAGTTGAACCCTTAAACATCTATTTTTGCCTCAATTGAGCTTTTAATTAGATGAAAATAGATGTTGTTAGCTAACCAATTTTCGTATATTAAAGGCTCAATTGATGAAAATAGATGTTTGAGAGCTTAATTAATTACAATAAAATGACAGAGACTTAGATAATTATTGAATTTTTATTTGACGACTTTTTTACCCTTTAGCCTACTAGATGTAAACTAGATTTTTTTTTTGCCAAAATTGTATAAACTAGTTTCTTTTAATAGTAAAACTAGTTTTGATTTCATCATTGCAATTACAAGTATACACAAATTCTACTTTATGAAGCTATTAGTACAAGGAAAATATAATCATATTCAAGTATTACACATAAGAAATCAATAAATTACACTAAATAGATTGTAGGCACCTAATTTTGTCCAGTTTTTTTAGATGAGCCTTATTTTGTATTCGTTCAGACACCACAAATAAGATAGTTATTTAGGCTCAAGTGGGCTCAATTGTAGGATCAAATTCGATTCAAATCAATTATGCTAAAAGTCCAAAGTCCAATTCAAACTTTGCTTAGGTTCAATCCAATTTAATTTGGGCTTAAAAGCTTGAGGTCCAAATCAAAGGGTTTGTAAGCGCAAAACCTAATTTTCTATTTAAAGACCATTTTCTTCTAATAAGGATTAATTAGTTCATTTAATTAAAAATTAATTAATTAATTAAAAAATACAAAAACAAAGAAATAGAAATCGAAGCATAGCACCTATCCCTTTCAAGCCACACTGCCAAACCCTTCTCAATCCTTGCAAAGCAACCTTATCCTGCGATTTCCACCACTAAGCCACCCTACTTTGCTAAGCCATTTTATGCTCTACAGTCACGTTTGTAGCGAAATTTCAACTACCACTAGACTTGCTTTTATCTGGCCTCTCTCGTTTTTCTTTGGTTTTCTGCTTGTCATCCCAAACCTTACTAGTATCTCAAATTCCTTTTAAAAGTTGAGCAAAAATTAACATAAAATAGGCTAATTTTGGGAGAAGAAAAAAGAACACTACCAAAAGCAAAAAAATCCTAACCACATTCGGCAACATTATCATTGCTTTTCTATAACCAACCATCTTCAAACTCATTATCACCACCAGCTTACATCCTAGAACCAATGATCCAAATGCCAAAACCCATCCTTTATTACCCTTGTTTCAAACCCCAACCATCATTGCCGAAACTTTTGCCCAAAAAAATTCCCAGCAAACACTCTGCCAAAAAAACCTACTACTGCACCCCTATAAACCACCAAAAGCTCCACAACATAGTTTTTCAACAACATCGACCAGCAACATGACCACCTAGACAATCAAACCCCTTACCTTCACCACCTCACCATTAAACTCCATCCCATAGCTAGAAACACTCCCCCCCCCCCGAAAAAAAAATTAAAATGCCTAAACTACTTGAGACTAACAACTCTTAAAAAATTTGAAAAACAACAAATCACAAAAAATATCATCACACATCCCTTAGTGGGGAACACGAGAGAGAGGAAAACAAAAAAATATACAAAAACTTATCAAAGCATAAAAAAGGAAGCTTCGGTTTGGAGGAGTTGTAAGTGGTTTCATGGATTAATTTTAGTTAAAGAAGAAAGTATTAAGCAATAGAAAGACATATTAG